TGCGATTCCTAAGAAGCTTCCAAGAAGGTTATGAGAGACAAACAATCCCTTTTCCATTTCTCACATCTTAGTTCTATGCAATTAGAGGATCAACTTACGGGCTGAATTAGAATCATAGAATGGTTAAGGTTGGAAGGGATCTTAAAGCTCATCTAGTTCCAACTCCCCTGCTGTGGGCAGGGACAGCTCTCTCCCACCAGTCCAGGTTGTTCACAGCCCCATCCAACCTGCCGTGAACACTTCCAGGGATGGGGCATCCGCAGCTCCCTTGGGCAACCTGTGCCAGGGCTTCACCATGTAGATGCACTAGTGCGTCTACGAGGTATGTAGCCACCACACATTGAAGAGAGACAGATAAACACTGCTTTAGAGGTGGCTTTCTGCAGTTTTCCATTTATAAAGCCTGTTTACACTGGATTTCACAGAGGAATGACCCATTTTAAGAAAAACGTGCTCTGCATGCTTAATGTTCTACACAAGAGCTTGAAGTTTGCCATCCCCTCTCCCAGCAAAAAGCTATTCTTCAGCAAGACAACACACTAGGACTGCTTCTAAAGCCCTAGGAATAAGACTTCAAACCTTCTAATTAATGTATGGCTAGCAAAATATTGATGGATGGCCTGTTTTTAAGTTATTGATCTGGAAGCACCAAGAATAGTTAAGTTTCAAAGTCAGACCAGTCAGACAAAGAGCAGTAAGCTCTGGCAGGATGACAATAAGCAAGTACGCACTTGGTTGAGGGGAAAAAGTTATTCTTCTGCCTCAGTTCTGGTCATTAAAAGTGTAGGACAAAATAAATACTACGCTTCAGATTTATGCTTACTTATCAGCTTTTCTGGCTGTATGTCTGGCTGTAACAAATTCCCTGCTGCATGGCTTCTGCATCAAACAGATGCTCACACAAGAGTTGGTCACTAATGCTCTAACCTGCCAGGACACAGCAAGGGGTATCAGGGTTATGCCAGGTTATGGCACTCAGTAGAAGGTGGAAAAAAAAAATCTTAAAATTAATCTATTTTTTTGACAATATATGAACTACTCAACATTAACTACTCAACGCCTCTGATTGCACTGTTTCC